CGAAACATCAGTTAGTATTCCATTCAATGCAAATAGAATCAACAATTAAGACAGAAACAAAAAGAAAACAACCACCGAACTCTCCAAGCCAAAAATAAACTAAAAGAAACAAACGCAAGAAATGAAATTGAAAATAAGAACAACAATTAAAAATATAAAATCACACACCGAAAAAAAATGGGCACGCAACGTCGTGCACACGACGTGCATCACTCATAACAGAAAATGTACATGGAAAATGTAATGTACATGAAAAGTCGTGAACGACGCGAAGTACCTGTCACTAAAATCACACATGAAAAATGTAACATGATACAATGTATCCTACTGCTAAGGCACTGGTACCACATGTCGAAAAAAATACTAGAAACAGTAGTCTATAAGTCGTGTCGTAGCTGCCGAGATACTGTACTCAATTTGCTGCAACCGACGGTACTCTACGAACACCCTACTGGTACCAAAATCATACTCTACGAACACCCTACTGCTACCAAAATCATACACACCAACAACTAAAGCACGCACACTACCACTGAGTGTCTAACAATACTAAGACAAGACGAGACGACCAAAAAAACTAGGACCGCACAACATGACGAAGTACAGTGCGAGTAGGGGAGAAGCAGAGTGTTGGCCTCATCGGTCAACGACCCTTCTTCCCCTTCCCGCTCTGTCTCCCCGTACCCCCTCGAGTGTCGAATGTCGACCTCTTCCTCCCTCGTGCGAATGAAGAAGTTCGCGCAGCGGAGCGTGTAGATGCACGCGTCAGTGGGGGTCCTGGGGAGGTGGGGGCATTGTCATCGTCGTCGTCGTCACCATCGGAACCGCTTTTGCTCTCCTCCTCTCCCTCCTCTCCCTCCTCCTCGCCCTCATAGTCCTCGTCCTCCTCCCGCACTGCCACATCCGTATCAGGATCATCCTCCTCGATGGTGACAGAGTCTCCTCCCTTCCTCAACACAACAACCCTCGCACTAGCCTCTGCAACCGTCTGCTCACGACGGGATCCACGATGCATCCCCAACCCCTCCGCCCCCGAACTCTCTCCAAGTGCAGCGCCTCCCTCTGCAGGCACGGGGCGTGGACAAGGAGGCAATCCATGCTTGTGTGGAGTCTGCTCATGCACGACACGCGTCGCTGCTCTCAAAGCGTGCTCCAAGCTCTCGGTGGACACTCCTCTGCCGCGACCTCGCTGAGGCTCACAACCTGATGCTGGTACCTCCCTCGCCGCGGTCGTCATGGCGCCGCGGGGTCCCAAGCCCGGCTGAAGACGTGCAGTGTGCTCCGTGACATGGCGGGTGGAATCCAAATCTATGTCTATCCTCCCGAATAACGTTGTGTCACACACGTCCCGCTGAACTGCTGTCGTGTCACGAATCCTAGATCTCCCAGGCGTGTGTGGGGATCGAGAGCCTCTGCCTGTGGGCGACGATGATGGATCACCTATAGGTGGTCTAGGAGGAGGGGGTGGCATGTCTCCTGTGCGTGGCGGTGTCTCCGTCATGCCACCCGAAACCCCTGGAACATGTCCCACGGTACATCCTCCGGTGGAGGTAGACCTAGACCAGACGGGCGACGCAGGACCCCATGGAACCGAAGGGATCGCCTGCCATGCTGGATGCTCGAGCCTCTGGTCGAAGATCCGCCGGTCCAATCGAGTAACATCGCGCACAACCTCTCTCGCCAACTCCTCTGCATCCAGAGGACGATGGACCTTCTGCGGAGCAAAGTGACTAGGAAGACGTGGGGGCACAACCACCGGCTCGGACCCCAAATCCGTGATAACGGGCGGTGGCACACCATGCACTGCCATCTGAACCGCCTGCGACTGTCGGCCCTGAGCCAAGTGCAGGCCCGAGAACGGAACGACTGGACCCGTCGCTGTCTTCTGGACCACGTGTCGTGCGTCTATAGCCCCCTTGTCTCGTCGCTGTCCTGCCTGCACAACCTCATCCACCGCCTGTGGCCGTCCCTCCACAGCAACATCCGCTGCCTCTGGTCCACCCGGCATAGCCTCATCGTCCGCCTCTGCTGCCACTCCCTCCACAACGTCCTCCCCCGCCACCACCCCACCCTGCACACCATCCCCCCCTGTCTCTTGAAGCCTGGCCTCCTCTAAGGCCCAGGCGAACGCCTGAGCACGCGGGTTACTCGATGCCATAAGTCGAACCCTCTCTCGCTCCATGATGTCACGTGCTGCATCTGAAGACTCAGTCGTCGTCCTCTCTCTCGGGGTCTGCGTCAAAGTCAGTCCTGCACCTCGTCCCTCGATGGAGCCCGATCCGTCGATGTCACCCCGCCGCAACTAGGTGGAAAGCCCATCAACAAATCAAAGTCTAAGTTGGTCCCCATCTCTGAATCCGAAATCCCCAACCCCCTCGCCACACTCGGGGTCATACCTGCTATGACCGGATCGAGCTGCTTCGTGAGGAACTACTGCATGAGGCGCTTGTCATCGCCCCCAAGCGGCACCTCCGCTTGTGCGGCTATCTCCTCCTTCACTGGTCCTGCCACCCCTCCCTCCACTGCAGCTGCTGACGGTGCCTCCTCCTCCTCCACTGCTGCTGCCCCCTCCACCTCCACTGCTGCCGCTCCTCTAGCTGCTCCTCCTGCTGCTGCCGCCTGCCCCTCCACTGCTGCTGCTCCTCCTGCTGCTGGTGCCTCCTCCTCCAGCAGTGATGCTGCCATCTCCTCCAGCACCGCTGCTGCTGCTGCTATCTCGTCCACCGCGGCTGCGACCGTCGCGTCCGCCACCGCCGCTGGTGCCATCCCCCCCTCCACTGCTGCTGCCGACGGTGCCCCCTCCTCCTGCAATATCCCCGGGGAAGGTGATCGTAACCTCAGCTGGCAGACTGCCCCGCCTCTGTGGAGAAGTCCATGCTGAGGCAAAGAGGACCCCAACTCCTCCGTGTCCGTCGTTGCTGTGGCCAGCTGGCGAGACGGGCGATGGTGGTGCAGGACTCGGAGCAAAAGGTGGCGACATGGACGACTCCCGCCTCGTCGGAGTGGGGGTCGTCGCCCGCGCCTCTGTGCCGTCCGTGGAAGCGACCTCCCCTAATGGGCCCCAAAACTCCTCCTCTCCCCCCAGCATCTCCCTGTCTGCCCGGTCCGCCGCCCGTCGTGCAGTGTGTGCCCTCATCTCCTCGTCGTCGGGATCACCATGCGTCTCGTCGATCTCATAGGGAATGCGGAGCGCAGGGTCATCTGCCGCCTCGGGTACCGGCTCCTCGTCCGAGTCGTCCTCCCTGGGGTAGGGACGAAAAATGCAAGCACGTCTAACGAAAACGGCATCAGCAGAGGGTGGTGCGGAGGCCCCGATGGGATCCAAGGTAGTAAGCGCAACCTGACGGACAATCTCCTCCTCCGTCATCCCCCTGCGCGTGCCCGTGTGCCCAGGCTCCACCTCGAGTCCTGCTTGGCAATCCAGCATGCCCTCGTCCCGCTGCCATGGCAKCACATAACCGCATCCAGCCCGCCGATACTTCGTCAACCGCACATTTGCGGTGATCTCAACGAGTTGAACGACCTTCTCGAAGGCCAACTGGTTGCGCTTCTTCGTGTGGATGCCCTCGTCGACTGCCCTGTTCCTCTCCGCTGGGGAGGCGCAAGACCACATGTGCATCACCCGAAGAGCGCACCGCCGCAACTCTGGCGCGCCAGCCCCGAACTGAGACCACCAAGACGCGCACTTAATCGTCTCGCCGTCGCCACTGCACGCGCGCCCATGAGCACGCCCCTCCGCCCCGCCCCAATCCCCAAACCTGCCCTGCTGAATGTGGAAGTCCTCAAACTGTCGACATGCAAGGATGTACTCCGCACCCTCCAACTCGAAACCCGTCTGCGCCAGAATGTACTCCGCACCCTCCAACTCGAAACCCGTCCGCACCCTCAAACTCGAAACCCGACATGCAAGGATGTACTCCGCCAGAATGTACTCCGCACCCTCCAACTCGAAACCCGTCCGCACCCTCCAACTCGAAACCCGACATGCAAGGATGTACTCCGCACCCTCCAACTCGAAACCCGTCTGCCCTGTTCCTCTCCGCTGGAGAGGCGCAAGACCACATGTGCATCACCCGAAGAGCGCACCGCCGCAACTCTGGTGCGCCAGCCCCGAACTGAGACCACCAAGACGCGCACTTAATCGTCTCGCCGTCGCCACTGCACGCGCGCCCACGAGCACGCCCCTCCGCCCCGCCCCAATCCCCAAACCTGCCCTGCTGAATGTGGAAGTCCTCAAACTGCCGACATGCAAGGATGTACTCCGCACCCTCCAACTCAAAACCCGTCTGCGCCATAATGCCCCACAAGCCAAGCATGGTACCGATCAACCTCGCCCGAAAAGTAATGAACGTGTCGCCTACGGGGGTTCAGTAAGAACCCTCCGCAGTGCGTCGGCTCAACCATGTGCTGTGTGCGAGCCTGCACACTCCTGATGATCCGGTCGGCGAACGACTTCCCCAAAGGAGAGCATGCGTCCGTGACACGGCGAACAAGATCATGTGTCCACTCGATCATGAGGGACATGTACTGTCCTCCACGATCCATCCACCTAAGCAACTCCATGACGGGTTGCATGATATGGACGATGGTGGCCACCCTCTGCCACCAAGGATCCCATCTGATCTGTCGGCGCACCCAACGTGCCATAATGCACACATCGGCGGACCACGGGATAGAAGCAAAAGCCCGCGCGTCATCCCCTCGCATCATGTCCTGCAAAGTGTCCTCCAGGGCCAACGGCCTCTCTAGCATGGAATAAACAGACGCGAACCGCGTCTTGCAAGAAAGAATAAGCCCCTTGTTGGGGCTGCGCGTCCTAAAAAAATGAAGGGCGGCCTGGTGGGTTTTGAAAAACACCACTAGCACACTAGCGCGTGTGATCGCGTCCGCAAACGTATCGCAACTCGTCCCCATGTCTGACAACAATTTGTTGCAGACATGGACGGAGCACGGGAGCCAAGTGATCCTCCTCATTGCAAGAGACATGGTCGGCGAGGCCAATGCCCTTGCAGCCCCCACGTACGCAGAAGCGGAGTCAGTGTGCAGGGCCAACAGTCTCTCCAACATAGAATAAACAGACGCGAACCGCGTCTTGCAAGAAAGCACAAGCCCCTTGTTGGGGTTGCGCTTCCTAAAGAAATAAAGGGCGGCCTGATGGCTTTTGAAAAACACCACCAGAACACGAGCGCGTGTAATCGCGTCCACAAACGCGTCGCAACTCGACCCCATGTCTGACAACATTTTGTTGCAGACATGGACGGAACACGGAAGCCAAGTGATCCTCCTGAGTGCAGGAGGGATGCCCGACGAGGTCAATGCCCTCGCAGCCCCCACGTACACCGATGTGGAGTCTGTGCATATCGCATTGACCCGCTGCGGGGCGCCGAAACTAAACTCGTGGAAGATGGTCACCCATCTCCGAAGGACGTGCACTGCATCGTCCGGCTCGCCCTCACGATTGATCGTCGTGTACACGACGACCCCTCGCGAGCCGGCGACAAGGAAATTCACGATCGGTCTCCCGTCGCGTGATTTCCTCCCGTCGGAGAGGAGGGTGGCACCAGTGATCCAGAATGGCTGCCTCACCTCCTCCAACTCCTCCGCCAGCTCCTCACGGTGGGTCTCCACCGCCTGCATACTCGCAATCTCGCTGTGGCTAGGGAGCACAGCGCGCGGGGAACTGCCAGACTACTCAAGAAGGACCTGCTGGTATGCCTTCCAAGCCTGGTTGCGGAAGGCATTGAAGGGGACCCCGCTGGAATAGAGCCAGCGAAGGAATGCCTTCTTGTGCCGAGCAACCCACTCGCCACCGTAGACGTCAGTGACCTTCTGCTGGCGAAGCCTCTTCCCAGCTGGGGCGGCGGCCGGATCTGTTCCACCTTCCTTCCTCTTGGAAGAACCCTCCCCTACAGGTCCCTTGGCTGCTCGCCTCAAAAAGTCCTCCATCCTCTCCCCAGTGCCTAGATAAACCTCAGACACGTCCTCGTGTCCCGGGACTCCCTGCTCGCCCGGGACACGCGCCTCGCGATCGACGTCGATCGCGCCATCCTCCGTGTCTCCACCTCCACCATCTCCCCCGACCCCTCCTGACGCTCCCTCCACGGGCTGCCGCCCCGCCTCTCCTCCCCTCACACCACCCGTGCCAGGCACATCGAGTCCGCGCTCCGCCACGTACCTGACAACCCTCTCCATTTGATCGCTCTCAACTTCTGTTGACTCCGTCGCGCGATCTCGTACAAAGTCCGTCGCTGACGTCCTTGCAGTAGTTCGTCTGCGTGAAATGCCTCATCGCCTGGAATTGGCTCCCCTGAAATACTTTGTTGCAAAAAGTGCAACGCAACATCATGACCCCCTTGTTGTCGACCTTCTGGCCGACAACCAGGTAACGGTACACAGGGGAGCGGCCCCTGAATGTGTCCTGCACATGGTCAGGGGCAGGCTCATGCTGACG